GCTAGTTCTAAGTGAAATCAGGATTTCCGTACACATTTTTAGATAGGGGAGCTGAATTGCTTAAAAGCCTACTGTGTGTTAAGCACTGTTGTTGCAAGGATCAAATGAAATGACTGTGGCATGAGGTTACTGCATATTTTAAAATTGAGGAGATTGAGACGGAGAAGGAAGACCCGTGACCTTATACTTCATCCTATTAATATGTGCTGGAGCCGACACTGAGACACAGGTGTGTCAGCACAGCCTCACCTCTTTGCATTATGCTCTCTGGTCTCTCAGGGGTGATGTTTTAACGGCAGTTCAGAATAAATTTACTAATATTAATGGCTTTTATTAGAGTAGTTTTTGCTACCCAACGTTTTGAAATTTTTTCCCTTTTAAGATTTTTTTTTTTATACGTGACCCTTATTAGAAGCCTTTCCCTGTGTGTGTGTGTGTTAGAGGGCAGAGGAAGAATACATACCACTGTAGTCTGTACCACAGTGACATGTTCGGTTTATTAATTGCAGTGCTGAGCTGGGAGTTGGAAGTAAGCTGTTTCTTTAGGTATAGACAGCAGCGTCAGCAGAGAGCTACCTGGTCCATTCCCGCCTCCTTAATCATAAATATAAAGTCATCACCCAGTGGAACATACGTAAAAAAATCTTCCTGATTTTTGTATTCTTCTTGAACCTCTAGTGGAATCCAATGAAAGGATCATCAACTGTAGCACAGGGCTGTTAAATTGCTTTCAAATATACCTCTGTAATCTAGCCTTCTTGCTCCTTCGTCATCACCATGATTATTTACATTTATATAGTGTCTTACAGGTTGCGAAACACTTTTATATCTATTGCTAATTTTATATAGCTTGTACCTGAAGATAAAGGCAGGACAGACTTTAACTGTGGCTTTTAAAAATTATTTTGAAGTATCCTGACATTTTGATTTCTGACTTAAAATTATATGTATTAGTAATAAGTATTTACAATGAGGTATTTAGTTATGTGTTGAATAGTACATTTTTCTTAATGTAATTCTATTTCCTCACAGAAATACTGTATTTTGTAGCTAAAGGTGATGCCTTTTATCTTAAAGTTCTGAAGTCCATCTGGAATTATAGTGAAAATAAATTCTACTCCGATCATGTGCATGTCTGCAATGCAAGAGGTGACCGTCAGCTTATAGATGTAGTTGAATGTTGGCATTATTCTGAGGCTTGGAAGTTAAATGTGGAAAGAGTTATTAAAACAGGAACTCTATCTGTTGATCTGTAAAATGTCCTCATATGTGTATTTCCAGCTAATTTTATAAACTTTTATAAACACACACACACACACACACAACACACTCTCTGTCTCTTCTATGAGCTGCAAAACTAAAGTCTCAAAATCACTATTTAAAAGTA